TGGTCGACGACGTTCAAGGACAGCTTGGCCACGATCGGCAACATGGTCATGATCATGCACCCGTGGAACGACCCGATCGTGCTTCGTCGAAGCTGGTGCGTCTTTGAGGTCTACGTCGCAGTGACAATGGGCGCGCGCTTTGAGATTGCACTGGCGCAAGACCAAGAAGCCACGTTTCTCGCTGACATGGCTGAAGACGGCGCCTTTCTCCAGATGCTGGCGACCATCAAGAGCGAAAACTCAGAAGCGACAATTGCCGGGGACCGCGACGGTATCTTTGCGTTGATTCGCGCCGAGACGTCATTCGTAGCCGTCGACCGGCTCATCTTCTCTACGCTGTCTACATGGATCAAGACAACCTTGGAAGCATCGATCGCGTCGGCGCCAACGCCAGCCGAGAAGGCGGCGCGCTGGTTGCAGCTTGGTCTCATCTACACCCGCGAGACTAAGGACGCCGAGAGCGAGCGCTGCTGTCGCCACGCGGTCGACTTGTTTACGCAATCGCGCGGCCCGGACGCACCTGAGACGCTTGCTGCCGCGTCGCATTTGGCCTATGCAATCGCGTACCAGCGCAAGCCGCGCGACGAGTGGGAGCCGGCCTTTACCGCATCGCTCGCGTCGCTCGAGCGCCAACTCGGTGCCGCCGACTGCCGGTCGCTGCGGTCGCGCGCCGACTTTGCCGCGTCGCTGGCTTGGAACGGAGACTTTACCGCGTCCCTCGACATGAGCATGACGCTGCTGGACCTCCAGCGACACTCGTTTGGCCTCGGCGACTGGCGCACGGCCAGCACGTTGAGCATGATTGGCATCAACCACTTCCAACTCGGCGCCCGGCGCGTCGCGGCTCGCTGGCTCGCAAAGGCACTGCCAATTCAAGAAGCGCATTTTGGCAAGGACCATACGTCGACGACACTCACGATTTCGTTCCTGGCGGGCGCGTTCATGTTTCTCGGGGAGCTGCAGCGGGCGCTGCCGCTGGCTCAGCACCTTGTCGAGACCAGCGAACGGACGCGGGGCCCGGACAACAGCGGCACGATGGTCGACAAGATGAACCTCGCAATGGTCACGCTCATGGCCGGGCATCTGCACGAAGCAACGACGCAGCTCGAGGCGCTTGAAGATGCACTTGTGAGCCGCTCTGACCTCTCGCACCATCATCGAGAAGGTACATACCTGTGCTTTTTGCCTTCATGATGCTGATATGAAATGGTGGTGACTAGTGTTAAAACACTTGGCCGTCGCGTATTGGGCTGCCGGCAAGTATGACGTCGCCGCGTCATGCTACCGCCGCATTTTCGAGGCGACGCCCGATAAGGAGAGCGCGTGGCTGCTCGTCGGCTTCCTTCTCGACGCACCACCGACGACCGCGCAGCGCGACGAGAGCTTGGCGCGCGTACGCCAGTACATGATGACGAGCCACGATGACGCGCCCGAGTCGTGGCCCATGAGCTGCACGGTGTGCTGCCAGCCGGTGCACGGCCGCCTCGCCAAGTGCGATAGTTGTCCAAAGGCACTGTTTGTGTTTTGTGCGTCGTGCCTTCAGCGGCACCCGCGCCGCGCTTTGAAATTCTGCGCCCACGACCATGCGACGACCGCGTATGCGACGATGACGCCGCCGCGTCGCTTCTTTTTTGAAGCGGACCTCGTCTCATTGGATGTTTCCTTTGACGAGATCGACGGGATCTTTTGTGCGTACGAGACGTACTGCGACGCGCACAGCGTGCCACGTCATGAGCGGTTGCCGCGGTCGTCGGTGCCCATCTTGAGCCGTGCGTGGCACCCGATGCTGTAGCTTGGTATGTATTGCTGTGAATGGAACCAAGACGTACAATAAAAATTGTACTAAAGTTTCTAGAAATGCGTTTGTCTATCATTCCGCAACATGTACGGCCTTGGTCGCACCGCGGCGCAAGCGGGTGTCCTCTCGACTGTGGACGGTGAAACTCGTGCGACCAAGGTCCTTCTTTCGCCATGCATCCCTTCTCTTCTAAACATTGACTCTACAAGTAAGAGCTTGTCATGGTGATCGCAACAGTCTCGTGTAGCATGCTGCGGGCGACGTCGGTGACAACCCACGTCGCATCCACACGATAGGTACAATAACATTCCGAGTAGCGAGCAGACCTTGATCACCGGTGCTAATACTCTAGCGTACTAGTATACAAGCGCACAAGAGACTCGTGTCCTTGGCGCTCTATACTACCTGGTAGGACTGCAGTGGGTCGCACCCGCAGTGTTGACGGTGGCGCCGTAACGGTAGAAAGTTCATTGCATTCGAGCCCGGTGTCTATGCGCGGTGAGGCATATACATGTATTCGATCTACCGAGACGAACGAACGCCGACAGCAACAACCTCGAGCGCAGGTGCAAGGCAGGGTGCCAGGCGTGCCGACGATGATCTCGAGCCTGCGACATGTCCACGTATCCGGACAATAACCGGATTCTAACGCAAGTGCACTTCGAAACCGGTCGATGAGGCAGCGGCCACGGCAACGTCGGCGCTGCAGGAGCTGCCCGAGCGCCGGGCCGCATTCGAAGCGCGCGCGGCATCTCGCTGCGCTTGAGTCAAATGCTATCAACCGTGAGCACCTCACGTACGACGATGCCCTGCTGGCACGCGGCGGCCAGCTCGAGTACGTACCGCGACCGCTGGCAGCGCCACGCCAACATACTGCGCGCTGCAAACCTCTCGCTCGAGGTCGCGTCAGATGCGATGTCTGCTCGAGCTGCCAACGAGCCGAGCTTGCAACCGTCGGCGGTCACTTGCGGCGCGCGCCCAAGGTGCACGGCGAGCTTGGCTCATACCTCGTTCGGCAAGGCGTCGGCGCGGCGCTCGTGCGCGTTTAGCACACGGTACCACACTACTTTGGCGCCATATCTGTCTTACAATGAGTTAGATGCCTGCATCAAACCAGGTTTCGACCTACCTATGGACTCGTCCTCGACGACGTGGCGAGCGAGCGTGACTCGAGCAAGAAGCACGTGCGCATACTCGTTGTGGACCAGATTTGGCCAGCTTTCTCGAGGCAGTAGACGCCTTTAACGCTGACGTCGCGGTCGGTCAGGCACGCGACAGACGGCGCCGACTTCTGCAATCTACCGTCGTCGACGCAGGCATCCACTGTCACCACTCGCGCGTGATCTTGCTGGCGCGTCTGTTGCCCGAAACGAAAAGCCGAGGTGGCTACGTTATTCCCGCGTCTCCTTGTGCTCCCATCACCCGCATGTTGTACACATCGCTCTAATGAACGCCTTTGCGTTCAGTGGCAGTCGGTGCTCGTTGCGCTCCACGCGTCCTGCGCCGTGTGGTGGCTTCTGTACGACAAACAGCGCGCGCTCGCGCTAGTTCAAACCAATGCCGAGTGGTCTACCAAGCTACGCGACGTAGCTACGAGCGCCGCGACGCACACCGCGTCGTCGAGTACCAACTGCGCAACATTGTGCAGCTCTTGGACGGTGTGGACGTCGGCTTGGTATCGTCCTTATAGAAGATGGCGTACTATTTGGTTTTGAGTCGTTGTCGCGGAGTAGAGGAGACGGAGGCGATGCTGTAGTGCTGTTCCTTAGAGCAAATCCTCCTGGGCGTCGATGACACTTCACTTGTTTGAAGTGAAGTCACTCATACTTCACACGGTGATAGAAGATACCTTGGAGAGCAGAGGCGACTACGCTACCGCTGCAGTCGTACAACGCGCGCCATAGCTGACCACAGTCAAACGCAGTTTAGAACATTCAAGGCCATCGCGAGGCAGGACAGCGACTTGGCACTCGACGTGGACGCTTGCTCAATGCGCAGCAGTAGGATGCGCAGCTTCTCTTGGTCGTCCGGAAGCTCGTCGTCGCACACGTCGCAGATCGTGGCCGTCATACTGTGAAGTGTGGCGCAGGAGACGCAGACAAGACCGTCGTCGATCTCAAATCCATTCTTCTTGGCGACCGCAAGCCGCTTGAGAAGGACTTCGAGCTTGGATGCAACGGGCGCTAACGCCGACGTCGACGACAAGAATTCAATTCCCCATCAAGTCCGCGAGGGCAAGTTGCGTCCGAAATTGAACGACAACTGCGAGCCGTGGCTCAAGACGCTTGCACTCCATGACCTAGAGCCGCATCAAGGTGGTAAAGGCGGCGGCGCCCGCCAGCGCGAGGGCGTTTGTAGCGAAACGCGTAGCGCCCGAGAAGCCCGGCAGCGGCTGCCGTGAGCGCGAGCGTCGCGAGGTACCTCAGCAGCGGCTTCTCGGTTCAATACCGCTTTCCGCGTGTCGCGTTGAGCCATGTGTCGTAGGCCGTGATGGTGCGGTTGACCGACCTCTCAGTGTGCGAGACGCTTGGTAGTGCTGCTCGGTTCTTTTCAAGGGAATGACTGAGGTCGTGCTGCTCGGTTGGTGTCCTTTTAGTCTTGAACAGCGTTTTGGCCACGTCGCCCAGTGTACACAATGGATCGAAGAATACACGGGAAACACCACAGCAAAGGCAGTCTATCGATTAGCGTTTCAACTCAATGTGCCGACGCATCTTGCGAGCCTCGGGTAGCTTGCGTGGATGCTAAGCGTGCGATGGTGAGCCCGAGGAGAGCCCCCGAGAGCATGTTAGGGATTTCGTATCCGGTCATTGCACGAACGACATCGTTGACAAGTCCATGACAAGGCATCGCTACAGCGACCAAAACGACGCTGTAAAGGGCAACGGACAGGAGCTTGACCATGCGGCGTCGCCCCGGAACAGCGAGCATATAGAGTCCACCGACGTCGCGAAGCAGCATGACCACGGGCGTCGCTGGCATGGCGGCGAACGCAAACTCGACGAAGAGTATCAACGCCAGCAGCGCCCACCCAAACTTTTGCAACCACGAGAGGAGGCACGCCAGACCGAGCGCGTAGATGACCGAGAGCCACGCGCTGAGCACGGCCGTGAGAGAGACAAAGACAAACACGCTCTTGATCCACGGGGCGAATCGACCGTTGCAGCAGTAGACGCCGACGCTGCCGAGTGCAAAGGCGACGAGAAGAACTCTCATGTCGAGTCCTATGGCGTCCGCAACGACGTCGAGAAGAGTCGTGGCGCTGGTGTGTAGACCGTCAAGGCAGTACGTGGAGAAGGCGCGAAGACCCGCAGCTAACGGAAGCAGGAGCACATGCGTCAAGTGGGCTTCTGAGCGTGCGAGGACCGCGACGAGACTGATAGCGGCGAGGACGGCAAGAGGTGCGAACGGGTCGCTTCCCGTGATAAAGCAGAGGACGCCGAGCACGATGATGTACACAACATAAGCAAGCACAGCGCGTTGCAAGCGAAGAGCTATGTAGGTGGCGAAGATGGCCATGACGGCAGCGACAAGCAGCGCGATCGAATGGGCGAGAGGGTCCTTGTCCCGATCGTCCAAGAGCTTGGCCTGTGCTCCGTCGAGGAGTATGGCGTAGGCGTGGCGGGTCAAGTTCATGGAGCGACCAGCGTCCGAGAGAAGCACGAGGCCGTTGGCATCCATCCACGTCGCCATCGCGGTGAAGCGTAGCGGTAAAATCAGGCAATGTCTGGGCTGTCGACGACGACCCGGTCAATTTTCATGTTGCTACAACCCGCCGGCAACAGCCCATTGGCTCGTTCATGGAATAAGGGCAAACTCATTCGCCGCTTTTGATTCGCCAAAAGTCAACAAAATGAGCAGTACCAAGGGAACATACATATTGTTATTGCCCTTATTCCTTGTCAAGGTGTCCTTTGTCCGGTACGCGCGCCCGAGCCGAGCCATTGCACCACGAATAAAGAAGCTTGACGCGTTGCTCGGCGATCACTTCAATGCTAAGTGCTTGTCAGCAGACGCTATCCTCGTCGACGGTGTAGTCGGCCTTCTGCATCGCACGCGTTGATTGCCAATGGCTCTACCTCGGGTCGATGGGAGAACGCTGTGCCGGAAGCTCGACCACGACGACCACGTCTTCTTGACGCCCAAGAAATCGGCTAAGGCCTTGCACTCGTTGGCCACGCCGGCGACAAGACCCACGTTCACACACTCGCCGCCACAGCCGAGCGTCTGGCTATCGCAGCGGATCCAGGCGATCAGCAGCCTCGTCCTCCTCCTAATGAACGCAACCATTCTGCAAGCGCGCGGCGGCCGCCTGTCCTGCGTGGCCCAGTAAGAATTGCATCTAATTGCCCGAGCACATGCCACGAGGACGTCAATGACCAAGCGCATCGATGGCCAAGCGGCCTGACACCAAGCGCTGTCGACGTAGCATCCAGCGGCAGGACGAGGTTTGGCTTGCGCCGCTCCAGGCGCGACGTCGACGCTCCTACAGGCCACGACCATGGACCTGCTACGCAACCTGTAAGTACGCCATGTATCCTTGACAGGCGGCGTGGTTGATGATCGTCCATCAGCGACACACAGCGACCGCACGGTGGTAGGAGGATCCTGCCTGCTGGGCACGAGGACCTTGCTTGCTCGGTCGCCTGCCATCTTCGTCGTCTCCTTCGTCTTCTGGACGACGTCGACCATCGCATGGCCGACCGCGGCCATCGCATGGCCGACCCGCGGCCATTAGCGTACTTCGTCTTGTCTTGGCGGCGCTGGCATCCCGTCACCTCGCATCTGCCAGCGATCCAATGGTATCCGTATACAATTCTATCCGGATACATTCGGGCAAAGCGGCGGTGGCCAGGACGACAGCAACCTGCGGGTAGCTGGTCCAGCACAGCCAGCACGATGCGACCGACGTGACAGACCGACGTGACCTCGAATGCGCCTGTCTCGGCCAGCGCCATGGCTGGCGCGCTTCTCGGCGTCGGCTCGCATGGCCTGTCGTCGCGCCACGTCTCGGACTGGCGGCTCGTCGCCGCGCATTTGGCACCGACGCCACCGTGGCAATGTCGCATGGGACGTGATACAGCTTTCGGCAAGTGCGTAGTACGTGGCAGAAGAAGAGAGCGCGCTGCGATATGGCGGCTGATGCCCATGTTGGGTTTCTCGTTGCTTGGGCCATCGCATGCGCGAGGACGCAGTCCCAGGCAGAGCTCTCCTGGACGACATGTATCTTGCGCTCAACGAGATCGCTCTCTTGCATCATGCCACGTTTTCGTGTGTCATTCCAGAACAGCTCTAAGAAACCATTGCGTACGAGACTCCAAGCGTCTGGGGAATATTCGTAGTACAGAGCTACACTGTCGCCGGCAGAGGTGCACAGATGCAACAGCACATCGTCGCTTGATCCTTGTGTCGTCCGAGCTTGTCCCTCGCTCGCGCTTCCGCCCACCATGAACTCGAGTGGTGTGTCAATCGAGCAAGTACATGAACGATAACGCAGAAACGTCCGATATATCCTGCTTCAACTGTTACCAGCACGCAGCGTAAGCATTTCATCTAGTATCGAACGATGGTCCCCGTCGTGAGCCTGTTGAACCAGCGTGCTTGCCTCTCGCGATCAACGACGAGCGCTAGGTCTAGGGTAGGTTTAGGGTTTATCTTTCGGGGACGGTGCAGCGTCCCACGCACAATGTTGTCGAATATTTTCACGCACGTACGCGATAAGCTGCCTATAATGCGCTTACAGATAGTAACTGCAGTGTTGATTAACGCGACTAAAGTCCGAGTGTTATCTATTTTATGCAAAAAGAACGCACGGCGACAGTAGTCGAGATAGGACGCTCGGGTACCATAGCATCTCCTTTTGCTACCGAGAATGTGTCCACAGGTTGAACGCAATTTTTATCGAGTTATGAGAATGCGATGGTGTTATACACATTGTAGTCGAGCTCGAAGAACTACGCCGTCGGCTTGATCGTTTTCTCAATGCGTCGCTGGAGGATGCAGAGTTTTGCTTGGTCGTTCGGGAGCGCTTCGTCGCATTCGCTACAGATCGCCGCTTCCATTGATTGCTGTGCGCCGCAGCAGATGCAGACAAGACCATCGTAGATCCCCAGTCCTTTCTTCTTGGCCACCGCCATGCGCTTCAAAAGGACCTGGCGCTTGGCCGGAGCGGAAGTGAGCTCTTCAGCACACGACTCGCAGTGCGTCTGGAGGAGCGAGTTGAATGCGAAACAGAGCTGGCAGACAAATTGCGTGCTCACGAGCATCGACGGGGACGACTACGGTGGCAGGAGGTAAGGTCGTGAGACAGCACTGGGCGACTTCGTCTAGTCAATGGTCTCACCGCCGTGCCAGTGGACACTGGAAGTATAGCGGAGGACGCGGGCGTGACGACAGCCGTCTCTCTCTCTGCGCTAATCGACATTGCAGTTGTCGGCGGCTTGATCAAGGGCTCTGGGCGCTTGCCCGACATGATGGACTAAAGGTAGTATAACATCATCCAGCTGCGACTTTCTATGACACAGGGCTGCTCACAGCACGAGGCTCGGCCAACTTGGTCTCGGGTTCACGCACGGCAGGCGCCGAAAGCTCTTCTTCGCTGCGATAGAGTAGCTTTTGAAGCGACTCGACAATCATGAATGCCGACGGACGCTGCGTCGGGTCAAACGAGAGACAGGCGTCGGCGAGGTCTCGCAGCCACGGCGGACAAGTTGCGCTTACTGACGGACGGAGGTTGCCAAGCCGCACGCCGTCGATGATCCCCCAGTACCCGAGGCCCTTGGCGTCGTGATATGGAAGTTGGAGCGTGTCCAG